AGGTGGGACTAGTTAGAAGCAGTCTGATAACCTTAGAAGCTGTAAGTTTTGGGAAACGTTGAGGTGAAAAGTTCTCTAAATCCTCTCTCCAGGTTGGCAGAGTCTGCTTCTCCAAAACACAATGAAACGTTGCCCATTGATTCACAGGGCTCACATGTCACGGTGACGTTGTCATCAAAATCGCTCCCTTCCTTCCTCTGGATTGTAAGTGCAAAGCCTGAACTAGAGTCTACTGCAAAGCGTGTGTGTGTGTGTGTGTGTGTGTGTGTGTGTGTGTGTGTATGTCTCTGTGTGTGTCTATGCGTGAGTGCCTGTGTGTCTGTGTCTGTGTGTGGGTGTTTGTGTGTGTGTGAGTCTCTCTGTGTGTGTGTCTCTGTATGTGTCTATGCGTGAGTGCCTGTGTGTGTCTGTGTGTGTGTGTCTGTGTGTGTGTCTGTGTGTGTCTGTATGTGTGAGTCTCTGTGTGTGTCTATGCGTGAGTGCCTGTGTGTGTGTCTGTGTGTGTGTGTCTGTGTGTGTGTGTCTGTGTGTGTGTGAGAGTCTCTGTGTGTGTCTATGCGTGAGTGCCTGTGTGTGGGTGTCTGTGTGTGTGTTTCTGTGTGTGACTCTGTGTATGTGTGTGTGTGTGTTCTCTGTATCTGTATCTGCTGTCTGCCTGTCTTTCTCTCTCTGTGTGAGTGCATATATGTGCGTATATGTGCCAGGGTTGCATGTGGAGATCTGATGACAATCTCCTGGAGCTGGTTCCTCCCTCTACCATGTGGATCTCCAGTCCCCCTATCTGCTCAGCCATTCCACTATCCACCCCCCCAAACATGAATTTTAAAAAAAAAATAAATCCTGGTATTTCACCACCTACAGAGCTCAATGTGAGACAGGTACACATTCTCATCAACACTAGGGACTGTTAGGCAAAAGCTCTGATATGCACACAAGGACTGTTCTTACCTCAGGGGCCAGTGTTTACAGCACAATCCGCAAGAGCAAGGAATTTATGAATGAGGTTTTGTGTTAAAAACAGCAATCAGAAGGTTACAACAGAGAGAGAGAGAGCATACTGAAAATGTGGACAGAGCATCTCTCCAGTGTGGAAAGAATTAGTGATGTTCTGCATGGGGTTCTGGAATCAGAACCAAAACCGACCAGTCATTCCAACAGGATATGGCTGTTCCAGGACACTGGGTTTTTATCTGACCAAACAGAGCAAGTAGGAAATCAGAAAGATACCATAGTCAAGAAGCTATCCCAGACAAGAAAACATTCCTGAGATCCGGAAATAAAGACAGGGACATTTCAGATCACTTGTTTTATTTTCCATTGACAGACTCCATAAATAACAGGCATTTATTAAATACACAGACAAGCTGTCCTTGGATGCAGTCATAACTCTGATATATATCTCATACATTCATTCTCTGTCTACATAATATCGCGTATCAGCTGTAAAACACATGGAAGGTATATTTAAATACACTGCAGAGAAACACCCAAAAAGCTTACACAAGGTGGTAAGACGCATTTTCCTGCATTGCCAAGCATGTGGGGAGGAGCAGTGAGGAGAGTGGGGAACTCCCTGTTTGAGCTCTGCAGTGGAGCTTCAGGTGCCGATGTGGCCAGAACTGCACACCAGATTGTGGGATTGTGTCTGTTGGTTGTGAGCCGACCACAGTAATTGCTGTGACAATAGGTTCAGTCCTCCAACTCGTTCCCTCTTCCTCCCTCTCTCTCATTTAGTGATTATCTGAGTGAATAAGTTTATCATTTTCTTTTACAAAAACAAGTCCAGGCCCCACCTCTTTGTCTTCATGGTGAGCAGTGTGTAAGGGTAAATGAAGTCCATTCCTGTCTCTGCCTCTGAGTCAGCCTTAAAAGACCAAGAATTTTAACGGGTTGCAGTGGACAACTCTCCCTACTGTCTCCATGTTCTCCACCCGTACCCCACAGCCACATGGCTACCCTTTCTAAAGCACCAAGAATCTTGAAGAGTATGTAAATTGCATACATCTCCCCTGGCTTCTCAATAAATCCTGATTTTTCCAGAATCTAAAAACTACACAAGGAAACGCACACACCAACAAGGGTAAAAGAACAAAGTTTTCTTATCTCCATCTCTGGTTTGCCCTCAATCCTGAAGTGCTATTGAATGACTGAATAATTTTTATGCTGGGAAGCCTGACAGCCAGTGACTAATTCAGGGCCCCAACCAATAACACTGTGAAAACCATTGGTAAAATAAAGGATCAAATCCATCTAAAGTTCAAGCGACAGGATACAGCCAAGGTGCCACCTGCCTATGAGTTTTTAGTCTTAATATATGGGACATCTTATAATATTTTGCTATAACTCTGTCAAGAGATCTTTTATGAGATAAAGAAGAATTAAGCAGAAATATGCATATGCTTTCATTTCAGAATAGTTTAAACCTATTGTGATTAAACATATTTGTTTAAAATATCTTGGTATACAACATTAGGCAAGTTTGATAAATCTCATTGCTTTGGTGTTGTTTTTTGAGATGCAGTCTCTGTGTTGCCTGGCTGGCAGGAAATCACCCCTTAAGCCAGAGTAGCTTCAATTTGGGGTGATCATCTGGCCTCTACTTCTGTAGTCTGAGAAGTTACAGTAACACATTTTGCTTCTCCAACTGGAAAGTATTTGAAGATATTCGCTAAGTCCATTTTATTTGAAACATTAACTCTTTGTATTTGACAACGTATCATCTCTGGCATCTATGACATTAAATGAAGCCTAAATTCATTTGAAAACCATAGACACTTATTAATTTTAAATGTGTCTCTATATTTCATTCACTTGTTCTTTCTGTGTGGTTTTTTGAGATTCTAATGAATACTTTCAAGTTCAGAAAAGAGCTATAATCTATGCATGCATTCTTCTTCATGTGGATACATATGCATGACAAACCAGTTGTCTGGGAGTAAACTTCAAGGCCAGTTAATCAAACTCAGAGATCGAGATGCCACCTTCTGCCTGCAGAAGCCCCCTTTCTCCACAGCACATCACTGAACTCCAACCATCCCAAGCTGAGACTGTGGAGGATTTTTACTTCCTATCCAATGGTTTCTCAGATAACAAAACTTACATTTTCTTCCCTTTCTGACTCCTTTTCAAGCGTGGTCAAAAACAGCCACTCATTTACTCCTGCTGTGGAACCCTTGGGCAGGAATGGGTTTCATAGCCAAGGGTACATTTCAGCCTGATCTGTGTTTGCAGCTTGATGAAAACTAATGTCCTTTTGCTAGTCGTCTCTTTACCAGCTGAAGATACAGATAGCACTGTACCATACAACCACACAGCAAACTTTTCTAAGCCAGAGCTCTGTTTACTCAACTAAATAAGAAGCCATTTGCTTTAAGGCTGGACGAGCTGTAACAGATGTGTCAACTGCCCCAAGAGTGAGCAGAAGTTTTTAGCAGAATCTCATTCACTCGTCCACTGTACAAGGTTTATTGGAAAGTCCTATATTCCAGATGCTACAGCAAGTGAAAGTGAAAGGTAAGTCAGGGAGGCAGCAACAAAATTTCATTTCACCACTCAAATCCAGCAGTGTGTGTCTACTTCATCACAGAAGGTCTCAGAACACTCCAAAGGCAAACAAAGCCTCTTTTGGATACAGTTGTTTGAGGATGAGGAAGGATAATGTTGTCCTATACGCTATGAAACATATCTAAGAGAGATTTTTATAACAAGGCTAGTATATATAGCCCTATATTTATGTCTTTATTTTAACATCTGGATCATGGAGCCATCCCGGATGGTGTCAGCACCTCCCCTAGACTTTATATTCTGACTCACTTTTATGTGATCATTTAGACTAATTATCCTAATTCATCCAGGCCAGTGGGCATAATTGACCACTATTCTACAGATACACTGTAGAAATTACAATCAACTGTCATCCAGACTGGTACTAACCACAAAGAAAATGTCACTATGTAAGAAGCAGAAAGAAATCCCAAGCTTTGAAGAAGCTAGGGAGCAATAAAGTACAAATCAAAATCTTCACATTAACTGGCAAAATGGTGGTGTGTGACAAAGAATAAAGGCAGTATATGGGATGGTCCTGTAGGAGCCCAGTCTTTGTGGGTAACTTTTAACCCTTCAAATCCAAAGCTTCTGGTTGTAATTTACCTGTGCCACAAGAAGTCACTAAGCCAAAAGCGTCAAGCCGTGTGCCCTTATAGTGGTGTGAAAAGCCAATCCAGCAGCAGAACTGTGTAATAGCATTCACCCAAGGGCAGGGCAAGGGGAAAGAGAAGCCATCATTAATATTCCTATCTTAGAAGAAAGCCAGGTATGAAAACATCTCTATTTAGTTTCTATATTCCTATTGGCTCTACAATGAGAATTGGTATTTAAAGACCAGAGAACACTAGTTGGAACAGTTCTCAATCCAGTCTTTAGGTAGCATGCTGAAATGTAGCTTCCTGACTCTCATAGATTAGCTATGACTCTCCCCTGGACTTCTGAGAATGCAAAATAGGGTTTCTCTGTGGTTTTGGAGCCTGTCCTGGAACTAGCTCTTGTATACCAGGCTGGTCTCGAACTCACAGAGATCCGCCTGCCTCTGCCTCCCAAGTGCTGGGATTAAAGGCGTACGCCACCACTGCCCGGCCGAGAATGCAAAATGTATTCAAAGGAAAGAACATTCAGCAATGGGTGGACAGAAACTGTTGTATTTGGAAAAGTGGAACTTGTTCTTATTTAGTTATAAAGGAGTAAACTCCCTGACCAACCCAAACAAAAGTTAAGTTTTGTAGGGTTATGAGTTAACAATGTATTGAACAATATTTAATATTTAAATAGCATCAAAACAACACATATGTGGATACCGGATAGCTTATACACTTTTAAAAACACAACTAGATTCTTTAAAATTTGAGTGAAAAAAACGGAGGAAGCAAAAGTCACAGAAACAATGATGAAAGAGAACACAACCAATGTTGTTGGACAAAACAAATCTCTATGACCTGGTCCCCTACCCAAGGGTTTACACTCCAAACTCCCCACACACAGTGTGCTTGGATAGCAACTCTTTGTACCCAAGTAGCTCAAGGTCATTTATCATAAATGTTTCATCACATAAATAACCCCATATTCAGCCACAAATGGCAGAGACTCAAACTGCTAGACTGTTATTAACAGATTTTCCTCTGTTTGTATTTCAAGATTTTGGCACAGAAGGGATTATCTATGCTCCTCAGACCATCCAGCTTTATATCAAAAATTCCATTCCAAAGCATAAACAGCAGCATACCAGAGATGCCGCGGTCCGAGGGATATTGGCTGCAAAAGCTGTGTGCACATTGGCTATGTTCACTTTCACGGCCCTGGCTGTACGATTTCGTTAGACAATGAGATGGGCTGCCCTTTCTGTACATCGCTAGAGCAGCTGGAGACGGCATTTGCTACCTGACAGAACTTCCGAAGAAGGATCTTTCTTAGCAGCAGATAAACCCAGGGGTCCAGGATCTGGTTCAGCGAAGCCAGGCGAACTGCAATGAGGAAGGAGTTGCACTCTCTCCCCTTTCCCATCTGAGTCTTGCAGTGCTCAACGGACGTTTGATTGAAGATCATTCTCAGCATCATTATCTAAGAAAGAAGGACAAACAGTTGTTGTCGTGAAGCTTGACAAGGTCACAGGCATCACTGTACATCACTGAAGGAAGTCAGGACAGAAACTCAAGCAGGGCAGGAACCTGGAGGCTAAAGCTGATGTAGCGTCCTCTGACATCACATTTGAGTGGTAGCACACATAAGCCAACATGCACTTATATGCAACACACACACACACACACACACACACACACAAACCCTTGCTGCTTATCCACTTTTCCCCTATGGCTTGCTCAGTCTGCTTTTTTAAAGAACTCAGGACCACCAGCCCAGGGATGACTCCTCCCAAAGCCACAGGATTTCCACAACGCAGAGTACCATCAGGATAATCAAGAGGAGCCCCAGTGAGGGCCCAGCATCCATAGCGTAGCAGAAGCCAGAGGCCTCGGACCAGACCAACGACTCTCTGAAATGAACACTTGCGAGTAAGGATACATGGACAAATGGGTTTATGTGTGACTCACTGTGTTTCCATGACGAGATCGATTCTTTCCTTCTCTCTTTTCTCTTAAGTGTGGTGGGGGCAGCTGCAAGGGCAGAGGGTGGATACAAAGGGACGGGGAAATGAATGGTGTGAAAGACACAAAGTCTAAGGAAAATGAAATAAATGTGGGTGTGCAAATCATAAACATGTGGCTTGTGTTCTCTGCTCACAGGACGCGTCTGTGGAAGCGACCTCTCTTGGGGCTCATCGTGCTGTGGGTGTTCTGTTGGAATGTCCCAGATTTAATTAGACATTCCTTAACAATCAAAAGGCTCCTAGCCGCACATTCTCTTTCACAGCACTCCAGAGTCTCCCCCGCGCTGTTGCCTCACCCTGCGCAGCGCCTTTCATTCTGACCACAGTCTCGCCCTCGTCCAGGCCCTCGCACACACGTTTAAGTGGGAGCAGTAAGGGTCACCGAGGCCGGTCTGGCCACGCAGTGAATGTCTGTGTTTTCTGGAGCTCCTGTCTGTAGCATCAACACCTGCTAAGGTGCTGGACCTGGTCCTTTGGAGAGGCAACTCAGTTCTTAGATGAGATCGAGAGGTGGAGTTGTCGTGTGTCATCTGTCTGGCGTCCCGCCGCCCCCTGTCCTGTCCTGTCCAGTGCTATCCCTGCCTCCCATTGTTTCCCCTCCCCACTGTACTGGGATGGGGGAGTGAGAGGTACCAGGTCCTGTCCTAGTGCTGTACTGGGATGGGGGAGTGAGAGGTACCAGGTCCTGTCCTAGTGCTGTACTGGGATGGGGGAGTGAGAGGTACCAGGTCCTGTCCTAGCTATGGGGATGCAGTCTGAACTGAAGACAGGCATCTGTAAGACAGAAAACTGGCTTTCATGAGGAACTAAACCAGGAAGCTTCGGGACCTTGGAGTTCCCAGTCTCCAGAACAGTGGAAAAACACACCTGTCATTTAAGGTACAACATCTTAAACTGTGGGGTTGTGACCTCATATGAAAACTGGTGTAGACATTGGAGATTCTTCAATAAGCTATTAATAATTTGCCTTATGACCCAGCTGTACCAAGCCTTGACATACACCCTGAGGCCTCAATATCCTGCTATATAGGCACCCACAAACACCCACTTTTCCATGTTCATTACTGTTCTACTCATAACAAGAAAGGCATGAAAACAGCCTGTATGTCTGTCAACTGATGAACAGGTAGTGAAAAACATGTTAAATATCCATGATGGAATTTTATTTAGCCGTAAAGAGAAACTGTTATTATATTGGCAGATAAATGGAAATGGAAAACTTTATACCAAGTAAGGTCACCCAGGCCCAGAAAGGCAAATGCTGCATCTTCTATCTTATATGAGGGTCCCAGCTTCGAATCTTCATATTTATGTGTTTAACATGGGGTACTGGTAATTACCAATAACTAGAAAGGGGTGTGGGAGAGTGGGCGAGTAAAACACAGGGATATGAAGAGGGAAGGAGATGATGTGGAGGGAAGGCAAGAGGGAAGGGGGTCACACAAACTAAGGGGTGTTTGGAAGAAGCATAAGTGTCCTAAAATATATAGTATATAGGAAAGGGTGTAGTTGGAGCCACCTACACAGAGGGCTAGGGGACGATATTCCTCCCAGAAACCACAGTTACCAAAGAGCCCAGCGCCAGGTGCAAGAAACTTCCCGATGAGTTGTTGCTCGGGAGGAGGTGTCCCAGTAGCCCCCCAAACAATCACCATCCCCTGGGTTATCGAGAAGAGCTTGAGGACTTATTGATAAGGATACCACTTGCTTTGGTCACTGCGTTTAGGAAAATCAAGCAACAATGTGGCTTCCTGGCCACACTGGCTGCAGTCCAGGGATGCCCACGTCAGATGTCACCTCTGGAATAAGAGTGCCGGTTGGCATCTGCTTGTTGGTTTCCTTATACTCAAGGAGCGTATCTGTGATGGTGATATTTTTCTTAAACTGTTCAGACTTTGAGAGAAAATTTTGAGTATGGATCTATGACTTCTGGTAGAACCAATTGATGCAGTTTTGCTCTTTGCACAGGGGAGAAGGAACACAGAAAGCATATTCATCTCATAAAGAAGGGATTTTATTTTTTCTTTTTAACCATATATATATATGTGTGTGTGTGTGTGTGTGTGTGTGTTTGTATTGTATATACACATGCATACTGTATGTACATAAATATACATAGGATATGCACATATATATGTTTGAATATATATGTTTAACCACACACACATATATAAGTATATGTATGTATGCTTTGATCACTGCTCTTTCTGAGCAGCCACACACACCATGGGATCTGGTCAAGGGAGTAACGTGGCAGCATCCAAGGTTCTTTGCCTCTCCCAAGTGTCGGCTGGAATAAGAAATCTCTACACTATAGATGTAGGAACAGAACAGAAAGAAAGCAGTGACTTTTATGTTCATCCCTGGCCACAGCCAGGTGGGATTCTTGCAACAATTTCAAGGGAAAACAGTCTGCTCCTACCCCATGGCCCTGTTCTTTTATGGATATGAACACAAGCCAACAAGAGTAGTCTTCATATTCTGCACATGGATTTTACTACTCTGAGAGAATTTCAGAACTAACCCTCATGGTTCAATAATGCCTTGCCTTGAGTTGTTGGCTAATTGTACCATTGAAGATGACAGATGAGCACACCCAGACAAACTAATTTGCGTAGCGGAGATTAAAACTGACAAGCCGGTCTTAGGCGCCATGATGGGACATTTACACATCCTTGCTTCATTCCTAATGTAATTCTTTAAGAGAAGTTTCCCCGTAAGCGAATTTTTATCTATGATGTTTTGCTCTGGGTTCAGTTGGGCTGCAGCAGAGCAACCTGCTCCACTGGAAATCCCCTGCCCTTTGATGCACACGTTGCGCTGTAAGACACTGAAACCAGTTTGGGCCGTTTCAAGCACGTAATTGCATGGTGTGAAGGATTGCTGGAGGATTGGGAAAGAGTGATGGCTTCTCCAAGCTGCCGCTTTGCTCTCTAGCTGGTTCAAGTCACCTCTGGGTCCCACTCTGCTGTTTCTGGAGCTCCCCTTGCAATAATCACAGCAACACACCGCTCCCAAACACTAAAAACAAGGTTGGCAGTGCCCCCACCATTGCCAGCTTCAGGAGTATCCTCTGCTCTCTGGGTTTTGCAAACCACCAGCAGGACTAGAGACCCTGTCTACAGCCATCTGGTTGGACACTCTCTGATTAATTCTGGAATAAAGTTGGAAGACAAAAGAGAATTGATTTGGAAAAGAAAATAAAGACAAAGGAAGAAGCCATGAAGTGAAAATCAATTCCTCATGAGAGAAACTTTACATCTTTGGAGTAAATAAAGGAGAAATACAAAATCCAAAGACTGTAAGTGAGGATTCATGAAGCTATGGGAAAGGTGGTCTCAGGAGCAGAACTGTAGGCAGTAGGCTGCCCAAGAGTTAAAGTCCTTTCATAGGTCAGATCCAGTTCTGATTGCAGCTCAGGACAGGCAATTAGTTTGGATCACACAATTCCCCTTCTCTGATGCAGGGCTCACATCTTTTCCTGGCAATGAACTTTCAAAGGCGACAGCAGGGAATCATGTTGACCTTCAGCCTGCACAGTGCACCTGCTTCCAGCCCAGGGTTCTGTCCCTGGAAGGTACAGGCTTCTACAGCAGAATCCTTGACATTCAGAGACAGCACAGTTCAGGAGAGGGGACATGCGGGAACAAACATGTCATCGTGTCCTAGTTCCTTTTTTATTGTGATAAAGCACTGACCAAAACCGGCTTGGGGAGGAGAGGTCTTACAGGTCCCAACCCATCGCCAACGGAAACCAGCGCAGGTGCTCAAAGCAGAAACCAGTGAGAAACGCTGCTCTGTGGAGTGGCGCTTCAGGTCTGTCTCCAGGTTCTTGACTTTCTTATTTCTTTAAGTATAATTTAAATAAAACCAAAAATATTCAACTCTGCCATTGCCCACCCGAAGAAACATAGTCGTGCTTAAAAGAAAGAATTGAAAATGTGGGTTAATTTAATATGCAGAATCTTGACATCAACATAAAAATGTATAATTTTAAAAGCCTACCTTTGGAAAAGTAGACACTATGTGTGTGTGTGTATGTGTGTGTGTATGTGTGTGTGTATGTATGTGTATGTGTGGTAATGTGTGTGTATATGTGTCTCTGTATGTATGTGTGTGTATATGTGTGTCTCTGGGTGTGTATGTGTGGCTCTCTGTGTGTCTATGTGTGTCTGGGTGTGTGTGTGTTTGTGTGTGTAGGTACAAATGTGTCATGGTTGCATGTGAAGGTCAGAGGAGAACCCTGGTCATTAGTCCTTGCTTCCCGTTTTGTTTCAGACAGGTCTTTGTTGATCAGCCTTGTGTATCCCAGCCAGCTTTCCTGTGAGCATCCAGAAATTCTCTATTCTATGCCTCCCATCTCACTGTGGAGTGCACATCACTGGGGTTGAGCACACATGCTCCTGTGCCTGGCTTTTCCTGGATTCAGGGGATCTGAGCTCAAGCCGTCACACTT